GTTTCCTGGTGCACCAATGCCTATGAAAGGGGATGGTGCACCCACCCCTGGTTTATTTCATCTTGGACCAGGGAAAACTCTCCTAGTCCCATATCACTAGGAGACAGGAGTCCTGGAGGTTGAGCAATACTGCATGCTGTGCCCTGTAGCTAGCAACACATCTCTTTGGTCCTCTATTCTGGTTAGACAGGTGGCTTGATCAAGGCCCGGTCAAGTCAATAGGTTGGTCAATATGGTTAGCTCAAGCAGGCACTTTCCAGTCAGTAGAACATAAGTCCCGCAATTACAATCAGCACTGAAATAGTGTCTGTGTATATTTCCTTACTACCCCAGTGGCTGTTGGAAAATTTGAACCCTAACTATAGCTTCCCCTCATTGGACTCCATGGTGGGTGAGGGGTGAGGAAATGAAGATTTCTAATTTGTATGATTACTACAAATTTAAAAAGAACTTGCTCTCTCCCGGACAACACTCGCAATACCCTGGCCAATCCCTCTGGAACATCACATATTGTCACTCTGGAACCTTACCAGATTCCAAAGGGCAAGAATGGGAATCGAAATGGTTCCCAAGCTCCCAAACCAGGTAACCAGAACCAGAAAAGTCCTCTTTAATCCATTAAGGAAATCTTACCTGGTAAATATTAAAGTGTATCATATAATAAATACCTAGTAGTGAAGATCATTGATGGTGTATCTATTATGGATCTTTATATTTTTTAAATATATCGGAAGATAGTTGAGGTATGTCAACATGCTCCTCGCATCACCCTACAGCGAGATGGTAGTCTGATATTTGAGGTTTTATCACCAGATGAGAGTAAACGTCTGCGTGCGATATGCGACATTCCTGGGGCTCAAGTCCCTCAATCAGTGTAAGGGAACTGTCTTTTACCGAGACCTGATGAGGTATTCAGAGGAGAAACTGTTGGAAGAACTAAAGAATTTTAATGTAGTGGTAGTAAAACGTTTTAAGAAGAAAGTTGATGGTTTGGAACAGTCGACACCAGCTCTTCTTCTAACTTTTGAATCGTTAGTCCTTCCTGAATCAGTTAAGTTGGCATGGTATCACCTCAAGGTAAATCCATATGTGCTCAACCCTATGTAGTGCTTCCAGGGTTATGGGCATGGAGACAACACTTGCCATTTTAAGGAAAATGGACAACCAAGAGCGTGTGTGAAGTGTGGTACAACAGGTCATAAAGGAGATAAGGAGATGCGAGATAGTAGCCTCCTTATAAAAGTGCAATTCAACTCCCATATTAAGGACTTGCTTAAGCTGACACAGATTCATGATTTGAAAGTTAAAGTAATGATCCTTATTGGCCCTAATACCTGCAAGGGGGTAATCTTTAGCAGGGATTTGAGGACAATGGAGGAGAGTGAAATTCTTGAAAATATAAAGGACCAAAACTTAGTGGATGTAAACTACATGACTAAGAAAGTGCGAACGAAAACTGGATTGTGTTTTTTTACTTTTGCTTCAAGTAAAATTCCTAAGTATGTCACGGTTGGATACGAACATGTCCAAGTGCAACTTACATTCAAAAACCTATGCGTTGTAATAGATGCTAAAAATATGGACACACCTCATTACGATAAAATGATAAAGAGACTAGTAAATCTATGAGGTAAATGTGCTGGAGTTCATGACACTGCTATATGTACTGAGAAAACACTCAAGTGTGCTAACTGTGGAGGTCCCTATCAATCTGGCTCTGCCGAGCGCAGCAGCTTGAAGAAGGAGACTGAAATATATGAGAGGGAATGATTTTAGTTACTGTGAAGCCAAGAGAAAGTTGAAGGTTTAACCAGAAAACCCAATACTTCTTTCGCTTCAGCAGCATCTAACAACAGTCCCAGTGCACACAACATCAGTCAGGAACTACAGACAAAGAAAGAGCAGAATTAAATTAAAGAATTGAAAAATACAATTCAACAAATTGCTGAATCAACCCAGCAAAAGCAGCATCATAAGGATACCAAAACACAGTCTGGATCGTACCTTCTCATCCAGGCGGCTCCTGCTTGGGCTTTGCCTGGTGTTTGGTCTGTTTCTCCGAACAGATCATCTACCGAGCGTCTTCTTGGCAGCGAGATACAGGACATGGAGGCTACTGTCTCCAAAAATACCCATAGGAGGCCCCTTGGTAGCAAGGGAGAGGAGGACAAACCTCCCTCCCAGAAAAAAAAAAACAAAAAAAAATGGCGGACAAGCTACTTCTGATCCCCATAAAACGTAATCTTCTCATTACCCATTATACAGTGGAGCTGTCGAAGTCTTAGATCTAAAGTAAATTAACGTAAATTATTAGCCTCGTCTTATGCTCTCAATATTATAGTTCTCCAAGAAACGCACTTAACAAGCCTGTCTCTGACGAGGTAATTTCGCTGAGGAATTACCATCTGTGTCGGAAAGATCAAGAGGGTAGAGGTGGAGGCGCCATGTACATCCACCAAAGCCTCCTTTTCACTGAGTTTGTCGCATGCAAAGTAAAATC